CTGAGGCTCCTCCCCCACTGCCCTATGGAGAATCCCTCTTTGGCCCCTCCCACCTCCCCCACACCTCACAGGGAGCCACCCCTTCCCCCTCCCCCACTGCCCCATGGAGAATCCCTCCACAGGGAGACCACACCCCCTTCCTCCTCCCCTACTGCCCTGTGGGAAACCCCACCCTGGCCCCCTCACACCTACCCACACCATACAGGGAGACCCCACCCCCTTCCTCTGAGGCTCCTCACCCACTGTCCCATGGAGAATCCCTCCATGATCCCCTCCCACACACCACATAGGGAGACCTAGGATGACCAGATGACAAGAACAAAATATCGGGACACATGGGGGGACCGCCGCCGAAGCCAAAACAAACAAAAATGCTGGAGTGCTGCTGCCGAAGCAAAATATCAGGACAAATTGTGTCCTGACCATACATTGGTCGGGACGCAGGACAAACAACTAAATATTGGGACAGTCCCAATTTTATCAGGACATCTGGTCACCCTAGGGAGACCAGACCCTTGGCCCCCTTCCTCCTCCCCCACTGACCCAAGGTGAATCCCTCTCTGGCCCCTCCCCACACCTCACAGAGAGACCCCTGGCCTCCTTCCTCCTCCCCTCCACTGCACAGAGTGGCCCCCTGGCCCTGTTCCCACCACTGCATGAGGGATGTCGGATGTTATCCCACAAGGGATTCCCTTCATCTCACTTCCATCTTCCTCCTCATCACCAGATGACATGGTTCTCATCTCTGGCACCTCGGGATTTCATATTGTATCAGGATCCACTCAGATGCATGGTGCCAGCCTTAGGTATTAAAGATGAGTTTGTTCAGGAAAACAATGTCAATTGGTGGATATCCTCCATCCCTCAGCTCCTGGGAGAGTCACGCTCCCTGTAAATGAAGTAGTATGAGAGCCTGCTAAATCCCCTGGCTTCATTAATGCCCATAGCAAAATGCAGTGACAAAAAATATTCTGTACCCGTGCAGGTCTTCAAATGTTTTATCTCTCATCCAGTTCCGAATTCCCAGATTAGAATAATAGAATATCAGGGTTGGAAGGGACCTCAAGAGGTCATCTAGTCCAACCCCCTGCTCAAAGCAGGACCAATCCCCAACTAAATCATCCCAGCCAGGCTTTGTCAAGTCTGACCTTTAAAACCTCTAAGGAAGGAGATCCCACCACCTCCCTAGGTAACCCATTCTAGTGCTTCACCACCCTCCTAGTCAAAAAGTTTTCCTAATATCCAACCTAAACCTCCCCCACTGCAACTTGAGACCATTACTCCTTGTTCTGTCATCTGCTACCACTGAGAACAGCCTAGATCCATCCTCTTTGGAACCCCCTTTCAGGTAGTTGAAAGCAGCTATCAAATCCCCCCTCATTCTTCTCTTCTGCAGACTAAACAATCCCAGTTCCTTCAGCCTCTCCTCATAAGTCATGTGCTCCAGCTCCCTAATTATTTTTGTTGCCTTCCGTTGGACTCTTTCCAATTTTTCCACATCCTTCTTGTAGTGTGGGGCCCAAAACTGGACACAGTACTCCAGATGAGGCTCACCAGTGCCGAATAGAGGGGAATAATCGCATCCCTCAATCTGCTGGCAATGCTCCTACTTATACAGCCCAAAATGCCGTTAGCCTTCTTGGCAACAAGGGCACACTGTTGACTCATATCCAGCTTCTCGTCCACTGTATCCCCTAGGTCCTTTTCTGCAGAACTGCTACCTAGCCACTCGGTCCCTAGTCTGTAGCAGTGCAGGCGATTCTTCTGTCCTAAGTGCAGGACTCTGCACTTGTCCTTGTTGAACCTCATTAGATTTCTTTTGGCCCAATCCTCTAATTTCTCTAGGTCCCTCTGTATTCTATCCCTACCCTCCAGCATATCTACCACTCCTCCCAGTTTAGTGTCATCTGCAAACTTGCTGAGGGTGCAGTCCTCCAGATCATTAATGAAGATATTGAACAAAACCGGACTCAGGACCGACCTTTGGAGCACTTCACTTGATACTGGTTACCAAGTAGACATGGAGCCATTGATCACTACCCGTTGAGGCTGACTATCTAGCCACCTTTCTATCACCTTATAGTCCATTCATCCAGCCCATACTTCTTTAACTTGGCGGCAAGAATACTGTGGGAGACCGTATGAAAAGCTTCGCTAAAGTCAAGGAATAACACGTCTACTGCTTTCCCCTCATCCTCAGAGCCAGTTATCTCGTCATAGAAGGCAATTAGGTTAGTCAGGCATGACTTGTCCTTGGTGAATCCATGCTGACTGTTCCTGATCACTTTCCTCTCCTCTAAGTGCTTCAAAATTGATTCCTTGAGGACCTGCTCCATGATTTTTCTAGGGACTGAGGTGAGGCTGACTGGCCTGTAATTCCCCGGATCCTCCTCCTTCCCTTTTTTAAAGATGGGCACTACATTAGCCTTTTTCCATTCATTTGGGACCTCCACTGATCACCATGAGTTTTCAAAGATAATGGCCAATGACTCTGCAATCACAACCGCCAACTCCTTTAACACCATCGGATGCAGCGCATCCGGCCCCATGGACTTGTGCTCATCCAGCTTTTCTAAATAGTCCCGAACCACTTCTTTCTCCACAGAGGGCTGGTCACCTCCTCCCCATGCTGTGCTGCCCAGTGCAGCAGTCTGGGAGCTGACCTTGTTCATGAAGACAGAGGCAAAAAAATCATTGAGCACATTAGCTTTTTCCACATCCTCTGTCATTGGATTGCCTCCCCTCATTCAGTAAGGGGCCCACACTTTCCTTGACTTTCTTCTTGTTGCTAACATACCTGAAGAAACCCTTCTTGTTACTCTTAACATCTCTTGCTAGCTGCAACTCCAAGTGTGATTTGGCCTTCCTGATTTCACTCCTGCGTGCCTGAGCAATATTTTTATACTCCTCCCTGGTCATTTGTCCAATCTTCCACTTCTTATAAGCTTCTTTTTTGTGTTTAAGCTCAGCAAGGATTTCACTGTTAAGCCAAGCTGGTTGCCTGCCATATTTACTATTCTTTCTACACATTGGGATGGTTTGTTCCTGCAACCTCAATAAGGATTTTTTAAAATACAACCAGCTCTCCTGGACTGCTTTCCCCCTCATGTTA